AAAAAAAAAAAAAAAAAAGACAAAAGAGCCCCCTTTCCTTGCTAGTATGAGTGAATGCTGCTTATTTACCAACTACAGATTTAATTTCAGTGTTCTTCCCACTTCCTAAGTGAAATTCATTACAATAATATAGAATTACCCCAATTTTCTGAAAGCGTTCAGTCCAGAGCTAACCTGTACTTCTTGAACCTCCGTTAAAAACAGCTAACAGAAGCCCAAATCCTATAGCTCCTTTGTGAGACCCTGTTACTAAAGTGACCCATGTTTCCTATTGTGTGCAGTCTCCTTCATTGTAACAAATCAATAAACCCAACTTTGTTCTGATACAGTGTGTTCTTGATGATTTGGGACTGCAGGGCATTCGTAATTTATATAGTCATTAAAAGTAAATTTTAAATATTATCTTCATGTTCTAAGATGTATCTATAGACAAGGAATTCTTAGCTATGGTGGTAAAAATGTAAAATGTAAAAGTAGAAGTTCAACTGAGAGAGGTTGGAAAGTGTAAGAGAGAAACAAATATAAAAGGAAGAATAAGAATACTATTCTTTTTTCATAGAAAAATCAAATGAAACTGTTATTAGTTTTGACCAGAGAAGTACCCAAAAATAGTAACATAGCTAAATCTGAAAAACAAAAGATGAAAGTTGTTTTAAGTGTGCTAGTTACTCAGCAATCACAATAGGAAATTAATTGTCTAAAGTTTATGAAAAAGTTACTATATTAATTTGCTTGGCTGCTGTAGCAAATATCACAGACTGGGGGGCTTAAACAACAGACATTTCTTTCCTTACAGTTCTAGAGACTGAAAGTCCAAGATCAATGTGTTGGCAGGGTTGTTTTCACTAGGAGGCCTCTCTCTTTGGCTTGTAAATGGCTATCTTCTTCTGGTATCTTCACATAATCATCCCTCTGTGTGTTCACATGTCTGCCATCTCTTTCTCTGTGTTCTAATCTCCTCGTCTGATAAGTACAGCAGTTGTATTGGATTAAGATCTACCCTAATGAGCCATTTTGATATGATTACCTCTTTTTAAGGACCTGTCTCTAAATACAGTCACATTCTGAGGTAGTGGGAGTTAGGGTTTCAACATATGAGTTTGAGGGAGTATGGGAACACAGTTCAGCTCATAACAGTCACAGACATATTCCTTAGTGGTAAAAAAAAAAAAAAGTAAATAAGTAAATATAATAAGAGCTTTAAAAAAGGTATAAAATGCTTGCCAATGGGATAAAATTTTAAAAACAGATGAGTTTGTTGGCAGAAATGTGGAAAAATTTGTACATCCAGACAGTGGGGATAGCAGTGTAAATTAGTACAACCACTGGAAGACTATTGAGAAACGTCTACTAAAAGTAAACATGTACTTACAAGACGGGCAACAATTTCACTCCTAGGCATATACCCAACAAAACTGCATGCAGATTGCCAAACGTCGTGTAAAAGAATGTTCATAGCAGTATAGCCTCCCATCCCAAATACTGATCTAAAGGATAATTTTTTTTTTTTGAGATGGAGTTTCGCTCTTGTTGCCCAGGCTGGGTTGCAATGCCTCGATCTCGGCTCACAGCAACCTCTGCTTCCCAGGTTCAAGAGACTCTCCTGCCTCAGTCTCCTGAGTAACTGGGATTTCAGGCATGTGCCAGCATGCCCAGCTAATTTTTGTATTTTTAGTAGAGACCAGGTTTTATCATGTTGGTCAGTCTGGTCTCGAACTCCAGACCCTAGGTGATCTGCCCTCCTCCACCTCCCAAAGTGCTGGGATTGCAGGCATGGTATAGTCATATAGTGAAATGCTATACAGCAATGAGAATGAAAGGACTAAACTTAAAAGCTGTATTACGGATAAATTTCATAAACATAATGCTAAGTGAAAAATGCCAGATGCAGGCAGCTTATACTCTATTACTCTGTTTATATAAATTCAGAAGAGGCAAGATTAAACAATGGTATTAGAAGTTGGCATATTTGCTATACTTGGGCTAGTAGTGATTGTAAGGAGTAATTTTTGTGGCACCTGGGGTGCCAGTGATGTTCCATTTTCTCACCAAGCTGCTGGTACTACATATGTTACTCTGTGAATATATATTGGGTTGAACATAAAGGATTTGTTCACTTTTCTTCATGTAAGTAATAATTCAATTAAACTGTTTTCCAAAAGTTGGCTAATAGAAATCAAGACTGCAAAAAAGAGTAAATAGAAGATTGTTGCATTTTGCATATTTTCTAACGTATTTGATTTGTTAGCATGTGTATTTGTCTTTGTTTTAAACAATTAAAATACAATGATGTGAAACATTTTTAGGTTTTGCATTTTAGTATCAAATATATAATACTCGGAGTGTGATCAAATAGAATGGGCAAAAAATAAAATGAATATTTGATTTTATTAAGATGGTTTATCACAACAAAAACCAACAAGAAGAGAAAAACAAATCTCAGGAAAATCAACAGCATGCATGAATTTGGAATGTCTCTGTAAATAAATGCAATTAAAATAAAATTTAATTTTCAACAATTGGACAACATAAAGCTTAACAGACAGATGCATTGAAAAGGGAAATAGCCAGGCGCGGTGGCTCAAGCCTGTAATCCCAGCACTTTGGAAGGCCGAGGCGGGTGGATCACGAGGTCAAGAGATCGAGACCA